GCTTATACTATCTCAGGGTTTCTGTATGAGTCACGTGGTACAAGAAAACTCATCCCGGCCGTGTATTCCGCGAGGAGAGAACTCTTATGGCTTAATTGAGATGACCTCGTCTTCTGTATGCCTTTCCGGGAATCGCGTTTACCATGTACCGATTAGCTCAGGGATGAATTTCCTCTCACGATGACACTTGGAAGCTATTATATGTTTTTTTAATGAGTTTTTAAGATTCCTGGGCTAAATAAAGCAGCTTTACTCTGTTCTCGATGACAAAAAAATCACGTCTACACTAGTTTCTTATCATCCACATTGATTGGAATGGAGTATCCATCATTTTTTCTATCCAGCTTTCAACTATCTACCCGCTACTTCCTGCCTTAAGTATTGATGGTAGAATCATTTGTAAGTCCACACAGGTCTTCGCCTTTTTTTTTTTTTTTCTACCTAAGCTGGTAGCCTTGAGAGGCTATTCCAGCGTAACCTTGACTAGTAGGCGAGCTCACGGGGATATCAAACCTGACGACGTTGCTAACACGAACCCTAGCAAGAGCCGTGCTTCGCAGAATCTACCACTGGATCGGAAACACGACCCGCTGAGAAGATCCGGCGAGAAACTCAGTGGGCTGTATCTGAGGGTTAATTTACTCGTCGAGCCCTTCGTCGCAAGCGACGGGTTCAACGAGAAAGGTGACTGGTGCTTGAGGTACCTAAAAGCACCGTTAGTGGATCGGGAGGATCCGAAATGACGTGTTTTGGGCGACGTCGACTGCTTTCCATTCTTTCTGCAGGATTGGGAATGTAGTTACCGGCGGCCACTATGAGAGGGTTCTCGTGTCGTGCCGCTTTATCGAAGTGGCGCATTGACGCCGACTGTAAATACTTACTGATGGACTCTAAGTCCAGGTCGTCATGGAGGTCGACGTTCCTGACGAACCACGGGGCTCCGACGGCTATCCTGCAAAAACGGGATTGTATGACTTGGAATGATTTTAGGTGAGTGCGGGCCGCGTGAGCAAACACTACACTTGCATAGGTCATGACGGGGCGTATGCAAGTTTTGTAGAGTGTCTCCTTATTTCTAAGGGACATTTTACTTCGCCTTCATATCATCGGGTAGACGGGTCTTTACCACTACTTCATCTAGCACGAACTAATTATACTTTCCGACCCGAAGGGACTGACTATTCTAATGTAATTTTCCCATTGTCAATCTTCTCTCCTAATGGACAGAAGCTTTCATATTATGAGATCTACGGGCTCTGATACCGCTTAGCAGTAGGGTCGAAAATCGACTATTTTTTTCTTAGTTGATGCAAAATACAAGCTTTGCATTAGGTATTGGGTTAGCCTCTCTGGATAATGTGTTTTTCGTAGATAAACGTTATTATTTTCATCAGTAAACATTGCTATATCTACAAGGATAGTCAGCAATTAATGCCAAGTACACAAACTTAGAATAATCCATCGGTCGGCTTAATGACCAACCGTGGTTCGGCGTTTTCGTTAATTAAACGCAAACAGGGACGGCTTGCCTTCACTTCGTTATGATCAAACACATTAGCGGAGATTTGCTGGTGTCTATACCTATTTCTTCAATGGCGGTTTTTTATTTCGTATTCTTTACTTAAATGAGATCTATAAAAAAACTGTAGTAGGAGTGATGCTGATTCTTGAGACGTAAGCTAAAATAAATAAAAACTTAAAGTTTACTTACTTAGATATACTTAAATTCATATGCACTATTATAATTATCATTTGTTAGCTATTGCCGGTATTTGAACTAGTTTTATTATTATCTAGCCTCTACTAAGTTGATTAGGTATAATTCAATGAAAACCGTTTGAATTTTAGTGAAAATTGTATTAAATGCACTCCAAGCGAGCGATTTTCCGGATGGCACATTCATTACCTTTCAAAAAGTTTTGTGATGGCCGGACGCAGTTCACCGTGAAAGTCGATTACAACGGTCATTAGTCTCCGGCACACCGACTAATTAATACAACGTTTTGAATAAGGCAACGTGATAGGATCCGCACCGCGGAAAAGAGAAAAACCACAAATTTAATTAAAAAGTTTAAGTGAGTTTTCACGGACGNTTTCCGGATAGCACATTCATTACCTTTCAAAAAGTTTTGTGATGGCCGGACGCAGTTCACCGTGAAAGTCGATTACAACGGTCATTAGTCTCCGGCACACCGACTAATTAATACAACGTTTTGAATAAGGCAACGTGATAGGATCCGCACCGCGGAAAAGAGAAAAACCACAAATTTAATTAAAAAGTTTAAGTGAGTTTTCACGGACGGGAGTGCGCTTTGTGCCTATCAATAAATTACATAGAATATTTTTCTTTGTTTAAAGCATTTTCTGTTTATTTTATATAAAAGCAATGTTTAGAAGTGTTTTTCTGAAACCAACTGCAGCTGTCTTATACACTTTACACTTAACGACACTATTATTTTCAAAAAATCCACGTATCTTGGTCACCCATGACCATGAAAACTGTAGGGTATTCGAAACATTATAAAAACGTGAGATTAAAAAATTGTTCAAAACGTAGTCCCAATTATGTATCGCGATTCGCGGAAACCAAAGATAATACCTACTCTACCAAATTCCGGTTCCGGTTTGAAAAGCTGTTATTAAATTCAATGGAGACTTCGGCGTCATATCTTAAATTGGGTTGTGCAGAGTAAACATGTGATGCCTACGTATCACTGTTGATACTAATGTGTATAACAAAAACGAAAAAATAATAATAAACAAACACAAGAGACAATAATAAGGGAGAATTTATCTGGTCACTGTTGCGCGGGCGCGCTGTCTCGAATGCGCATTTTTGTGGGCTCATTAAAATTACATTACAGTTCTTATTTAAAAACAGCAAACAACTAAATGACGCTCGTTAATGCGTCTCGTCGTCGAGAATTTTATGGACAACCCAAATACAAATATTTTAGTAGAACTTAAAATATAACTAGAGCGCTACATAATTATCAAAGCTATATAACTGATTCTTACCAATTTGTATTTTTTTAGTTCATGTTATTATACAAAATCGAGGTATTTATGCCTTTAGGTAATCAAATGAATGAAATCTAGTATTAGGTTTAGTATCAAATTTTGCATTCGCAGTGTCCTAAAAAAACGGTCGATAAGTAATATAGCAAATTTTGAGTTTGTAAATTATTCAATTATTCCAGATTACTTTTTTACTGGTGGTAGGACCTCTTGTGAGTCTGGACGGGTAGGTACCACCGCCTTGCCTATTTCTGCCGTGAAGCAGTAATGCGTTTCGGTTTGAAGGGTGGGGCAGCCGTTGTAACTAACTATACTTGAAACCTATATCTCAAGGTGGGTGGCGCATTTACGTTGTAGATGTCTATGGGCTCCAGTACCCACTTAACATCAGTTGGACTGTGAGCTCGTCCATCCATCTAAGCAATAAAAAAAAAACTCTTACGTGCGTATATATNCTATTTCTGCCGTGAAGCAGTAATGCGTTTCGGTTTGAAGGGTGGGGCAGCCGTTGTAACTAACTATACTTGAAACCTATATCTCAAGGTGGGTGGCGCATTTACGTTGTAGATGTCTATGGGCTCCAGTACCCACTTAACATCAGTTGGACTGTGAGCTCGTCCATCCATCTAAGCAATAAAAAAAAAACTCTTACGTGCGTATATATGTAGTGCGAACACGGTTTTTTCTTACTTGTCTTTTACTAAGGCAATGTACAAAATATGTTTTACTTGTATTATTTAATTCAAATATGTATGGTATAAGAATTGTGTCAATTTGGTTAAAAATGCTTTTATAGTTTTTATACTTACAAACTTAAGACATTTGAAGTCGATTAGTACACGTCTTTCATTTGGCGGCCTCCTTACAGATGATGATACAACGTAAATTGTTAGAATCCAACAAACGTTTCAATGCTAATGTTTTCTATCGTTATCGAGTCCAGAATGTTTACGTAACAAGGCCACTACGTATAAAGCCAGTCCTCAATATAACGCTAACATATTTGTATGGCAACGTAATGTAATATTAAGTGATCCCTTAAAGACAACTCTATGTTGTATGCGTAGGAATTATCAGAGGCCAATTAGTGATGCGCGAAACGAGTCCATAATGTTGTTGTTGTATTTTTTTCATCTTTAAGCCTTTAATGATCGTTCCAATGAGGATAATACAAGGCATTAATTCTAATTAGTTTATTTTAGGCTTATTTGTCTTGTATTGCTAAAGTTGCAGAATACCTGAAGCTTGTTTAATAATATATTTAAGTAGATAGATTGTTGAGAAATAAAACTCTATCCTATCCGAAGTAAATTTTCCCTTAGAAATAAGGTGACACTCTACAAAACATGCATACGCTCCGTCATGACCTATGTAAGTGTAGTGCTCGCTCACGCGGCCCGCACTAACTTGAAACCCCTTCAAATCATTCAATCCCGTTTTTGCAGGATAGCCGTTGGAGCTCCGTAGCTCGTCAGGAACGTCAACCTTCACGACGACCCGGACCTGAAGTTCATCAGTGAGTATCTACAGTCGGCACCAATGCGCCATTTCGGTAAAGCGGCACGACACGAAAACCCTCTCATCGTGGCCGCCAGTAACTACATCGGGGACCAAATGGTAAACAGTCGACGTCGCCCTAAACACGTCATCTCGGATCCTCCGGATCTACTAACGGTGCTTTTAGGTACCCCAAGCACCGGTCATCGTTCTCGTCGAACCCGACGCTTGCGACGAAGGGCTCGACGAGTAAATTAACCCACAGACATAGCCCTCTAAGTTTCTCGCCAGATCTTCTCAGTGGGTCGCGTTTCTGATCCGGCAATAGATTCTGCGAAGCACGGATCTTGCTAGTGTTCGTGTTAGCAACATCGTGAGATTTGAGCCCCGTGAGCTCACCTACAAGCCCGGTGACGCTGATATGGTCTCTCTAGACGACCAGCTTAGGTAAGAGAAAAAAATAAAATAAATAAAACTAGTCAATATAATCATTAAATAAATATATTTATTTACAATATTAACCGCGAAATGAAATTTTAATTTATTCTGTCGTTTTTGATATAATCTTTTTACTTGGAATTATCTTGATTTTAGGAAAAATATTTCTCCGCTTACTACACGCGCCGACGTAGATACCGAATGACAGCTTAAAATCTTTCCGTTAATACATCTTTTATCGTAAAAATATTTATTTTACATAAGTAATTAGCTTAATAATTTAATTAGAATTAATCAGTGAAATCTCGTAGAAATTAAAGTGTCAGTGTAGCCATCAACTTTATCATATTAACAATTCGAAATACGTTTACAAATTAATAGTATTGTGAAGCTTAATTATTTTTTAAAAAAAATCGATGCCGAAATTAGTAAAATTTACCATTGCACCATTCTGAGTACTAAATACCTAAACTGTCTAAACATATTACCACTAATAGTACAAACCGTAATTATTATCAGCAACTTATCAAGCGGACATCGTAAATAATATCATTTAACGGAAAACTATCTTTGGTAAACAAAAAATAACATTTTAATACTTAACCAATGAATAAGCGAAATGACAAAGAATCAGCATTAATAAAACTTCATACCTTGTATGATAACAATTAATTTCACTACATACCTACATATGTTCGTAGATACGCACAATTTCATAACAATGAGATCGTTAATATACAGCTAGACTTTAGCTTTTAGAGACTGGACCTGAATCGTTGTTTATTTATAGAAATTATAGTAGGTTTTTCAAATTTTATTAAACATTTATTTTTTACAAGAATACGTATTCAATGGATTTATATTACGACAAAAAAGGTTTAGGTGTAGTTCTTACTATGTATATTATATCAATGAAAAAAAAAAACTTTCTTTACAGAATTAAAAAATTAAACAATATTTATTTATTGAACAGCATTTATAAAAATTGGCTAAGCGCAAGTCGTGGTTTATTATGTGAAGCGAGAGCGCGCGCTCTACCCACGCGCCGCTGCTATCTTAACATGTAAACAAGTGCTCAAATCGTATACATAATGGAAATATCGTGTTCTAATAACGTTATCGCGACTCATCCCGGACACTTTGTAAAGTGCCCACATATCCACGGGTCCCCAACCTGTGTAGTTTCGAGCGCCGCTTTTAACACGTCCATGTTCGAGAAGTCGCGATGTAATTCTGCACTTAGCCGGTTTACTATCGAACATCTGACCGTGAACTCGACTTATTTGTGACTGTACTGTACCGTCCTTTGATTATTAAATATCTGAGATTTCACAATATTCGTCGCCGCAATATTGTAGCGAATATAACGTAAAATCAAAACAATGTTGGGCAGTCTATCCTATTGTTGACTTTTTCTGGAATCACTGATGGATTGGTTTTAAGAGGTGACACGTAAGGTTAGTGTTTGCTATTTATTTTGTTGATTTTAAAATGCGTTTTGCTGGCGGATGTAGGCCTCGGTGGGTATGGCTTGCAGACCTCTCCCTCGCCAACAATCAGTGGGGTTTTACCTACAAATACGAAGAGAAATATTCAATAAGTAAATTACTCAAATTTATTTTTATTCACAGATTTATAGATTGTATAGCTAATTAGTTTTTTTTTACTTAGATGAGTGGACGAGCTCACAGCCCACCTGGTGTTAAGTGGTTACTGGAGCCCATTGTCATCTACCACGTAAATGCGCCAACCACCTTGAGATATAAGTTCTAAGGTCTCAAGTATAGTTACAACGGCTGCCCCACCCTTCAAACTGAAACGCATTACTGCTTCACGGCAGAAATAAGCGGGGTAGTGGTACCTACCCGCGCGGACTCACAAGAGGTCCTACCACCAGTAAATTATTTTTAAAGTACACGGAGTTACATAAGTAAAAGGAGTTCAAGACTTACCGAGGCGAGGAGTCGGCGTGGTATCATCGGTCATCGTGCGGCATCACACACGTCAGGGTCTGGTGGGCTACCGTATCCACTGGATGCGTCATCTGCGCCAGCGCATCCACCTCCGTCCTTATCGACAAGAGCGTTTCCTGCTGCTGCACTACTGCCACAGCCGCTCACACTACCAATGTAACCCCCACTTGGAGACTGAATAAAAAGAAAATGATATGATAAATAAATAAATCGAAGGAAACCAAATAGTTAAATGTGAGTTTTAAGTCGCTAAAAGTTTCGATTAAGAAATGATATTTAAAAACAACGAGCTTCCTGTTCACTTTATATATTACTAGCCGTACTCACCCGCTTCGCTGGGTATTTAAAATTAACATTATTATTTACTGTCATTATTATTAGGGAGTCCAACACTGATATAAATAAATATTAGCCTATCCATTAAGTACATGTATTTTCTACATGGATACCAAGTTTCAAATCAATCGGATGCATGGTTCAGTAGTTATAACGGAACATCCATAAAAACTACTGTAGATTTATATATTACTATAGATTATAGAGTTTACTGTCACTCATGAGGTTGTGCCAAGGGAAACAAACAGTCATCCCTAAAAACTCGTTACGGTAATGAAGGAGTATATTCAGTGACAAATTCTGTTGCCCTCCTTGTATTTATGCATATGTTTTTTTACTTATTACCCTTGATTTGAATCCATTAGTTTGTTGTTTATAATCGTGACTAATATGATTAACCAATGCCGTCAACCGAGTTTGACATTAGGCCGTGATCGCAATCCAAAAGTCGATTAGTAATGTCATGCGCCCGAATGAGTTTCCCCCACTAGCGCTCATAAAATGAAATAGATTCCCCTACATTCGCATTCCGACAAGCGTTCGTACGAGAAAGATTAATGATCACAAAAGAAACATAATAAAGTGGAGATAGAATCTCCCACTAACAGTGTCCTTGTGGGAGTTATTTACTCTGTCGAGTCGACTTTTTCACGTGCCCTTTATTTCGAATGGAGACATTTGAAAAAAAAAGTACTTTTCCGCATTAGGGTTTCCTAAATATGTGTGTTGTTTTTAGAGTAACACACCGTGGTCAACGTATCTTTTGTTCCGTGATGACGTAAAGAGTAGTGCAAAATTCACTTAACTTAATTGTACTTACTAGTAACTGAATACAAATTACATTTATACTGTTATATTATTATGATGTACTACACTCGTATTGGTCCACGTAAGTGTACAACGCGACAACACGTTTCCTTTATTTATGTGGGAAATCGACAGCGGCTAAATAATGAAAGGCTCTAATAACCTACAGTAAAACTGAATGAACAAAAGCAGTGATTTCTATACTGAGAACCGACATGTGAGAGAAATTATAAGTAAATAGAGTTGAAGTCTATAATAAAAAAAAAACTCGTATGCCTAAGTCAACACGCTTATGCCTGTGTAGTGTTATTAACGTTGTATAAACAAACACGGGTTTTAAGTAGGTGTTAATTAAAATACACACATTAACATCTTGAGCATCTGATTAATTGAATTTCTTAGATTTATCTATATATCTATCTATATGTATAAAAATGAATTGCTGTTCGTTAGTCTCGCTAAAACTCGAGAACGGCTGGACCGAATTAGCTAATTTTGATCTTGAATTATTTGTGGAAGTCCAGAGAAGGTTTAAAAGGTAGATAAATATGAAAATGATCGGAATTAAATAAAAATAACAATTATGTTTTTCCTTTGATGTGTCCTCCGTCGGACGGATTCCTTTTGTTTGTTTTAATTTTATTTTATACAAAAATTTAGGTCTTTTATTTATCGATTGAGGCACTACGAAGTCTGCCGGGTCAGCTAGTATTGAATAAATACTAACTGCTTCCAGCCTTTTAACAACATATTATTTAGAAGGGCTACCCCGTTCAAATTTTATTGTACTGCACGTTTCTTGCAGTAGATTTATTTACATAATATTAACCTGTAAGCCACTGACTTGTCGCCTGATGTGCGCCAGTCCACTGGGATTAGCCGCCATACTTGCAAACACCAGCCTCTCTTCATAGTCATATTCGCAGAGTATTTTATTGTCGCAAAGGTAGAATCTGTCACCTACGCAGAATCTGTAACAAAAGAAAATACAATGTTTTTAATCTATAAAGGAAAAAGTTAAATGTATTTTAGAGAATTCGACAAATCATGCACCTTACCTGTGATTACACTGTTGACATGCGAAACATTCTAAATGGTAGACGAAACTCTTTGCTCGCATCACCATTTCGAAGGCTGGGATAACTTTATTGCACGCCACACAATTGCCGGTGGCACCGAATAGCCTGACAAAGAACAAAAGATAAGATTTTATAGGGGGTGGTGGTATGTTCTGAGCCAGTTCACGTATCCTCATGTCACAAGATGAGCACTGCTGTTTAACTTGCGATGTTGGCTATTGCTTTTTATAATCTCACGGGGAGCTGGTGGTAGGACCTCTTGTGAGTCCGCGCGGGTAGGTACCACCGCCCTGCCTATTTCGGCCGTGAAGCAGTAATGCGTTTCGGTTTGAAGGGTAGGGCAGCCGTTGTAACTTTACTAGGTGGGTGGCGCATTTAAGTTGTAAATGTCTATGGGCTCCAGAACCACTTAACACCAGACAGGCTGTGAGCTAGTCCACCCAACTAAGCAATAAAAAAAATAAAAAAAACTTAGGCCCGAAGCCTTTAGAACTCAGTTGGAGGTCAAAGTCTATAATTATAAGTCTATTATTTTATATTACGACGACTGTCAAACCTTTAAACCCCAACGCATGACTGTTTCGCGGTGAAAATAAGCAAGACAGCATTAACCGATACGGGTTTTCCCCAATTGCCTGCTTAGCATCAGGCAAGGTACGAATTCGCTCAACTACTCTGAATAAAGTGGTGTAAAGTAAAAAAACCTAACAAAAAAAACTGATGTGTTTTGGTTAAAATCAGACTAGACTCCCTCCCTCCCTAAACCGTAAGATAAAGTAAATATAAAATTATCGAAACGCTTACAAATTCTTTTAGTATAAGTGAAAATCTGCGATAAACTATATAGTATAAATATATAGCCGTTATTTTTCATATAATATAGAAAGGAGTAGAAATGAACACAAATTAAAACAATATTTTTAAGACAGCTATTGCATTGGTCGTTTAAAATAAAAATGGGAAATTAGAATACACACCTAAGATAATCCCTTTTGCAGAGCATCAGGTCTGCCTTGTAATATAATTTGGAGCCGACTTCCCCGAGGCGGCAATCGCAGCACCCGCACTTCAAACAATCCTCATGCCAGAATCTTTCCATCGCTTTGAGGAGGAATCTCTCAGTGATGACCTTCCCGCATTGCGCGCAAAGCCTCGCTCCTCCCGTAGAACTCGCCACGTTGTTGCTCTGACTGTACTTATTTTCATCTTGTTGACCTGTTGAAGGAAAATATATGTGATTGTTTACTAATACCGCAAATAATGCTAGATATCTTACCTGATAATAAATAGGACATAAATCTATTAGGATATTTCACAGAGTAGGGTTTTTTTATTGCTTAGATGGGTGGACGAGCTCACAGCACACCTGGTGTTGAGCGGTTACTGGAGCCCATAGACATCTACAACGTAAATGCGCCACCCACTTTGAGATATAAGTTCTAAGGTCTCAAGTATAGTCACAACGGCTGCCCCACCCTTCAAACCGAAACGCGTTACTGCTTCACGGCAGAAATAGGCAGGGTGGTGGTACCTACCCGTGCGGACTCACGTGCAGGTTGATGTACAAATGTCATTTTGAACTTATGCCTCAAAGTACCTATGTGTTATGACTACATGCCTATCACCTCGCTGACTATACTTATAAAGTGAGTTCCCACTTTATCAGTCAGCGAGACATCAATGACATCTCCCAACGGAGACTTCACGGGATTCACCTTATGGTGTCTAAAGACTATACTGTACATTGGGTAAACTATAACGATACATGTACAAAGTTTAATAAAGAAATTATTCAACTATCATGCAGCTGTGTCGAGCTTAATGAGCCAAACAATCATTTTAATTTATAACGAATCTCTGAAACGTTTTCCTTAAATGATTCTGATTACTATCGTTGTTATTCAGATATAATTATATGCTGTATTTTCTTTTTATCGACAAAAAGTAGGTTACTTTATTCGAACTTACAAGCAACTAATTACTGGTAATTACGTATTGTAGATTTCCTAGAAACATGAATAGTATCCAATTATTGCCAAACAAAGAGAATGAAACAGGATTAATTTAAATTAAAGCATGGACAAGGAATAATTAATTCTGTTACGCTACGTACAAGAGGGTAATTATTCGTAATACTCGTCTCATTATGGCGTTAAGGTAGGCTCGATTGTTTTCTACTGTATAATTATATCAATTAAATCGAGCATGGGCGCGCCGCGTGTTATGCAGCCGTTGCGCGTAGTCGTCGCTAAGAGGCGCTTAAGAATGTGTTGAAATAAACATGTTCAGTGTATACAAAAATAATAAAACTATGTTATATGTAATGAGAATTTGGCTTGTTTTTTTATATTCATTGCTTAGATGGGATGAGTTCACAGCCCACCTGGTGTTAAGTGGTTACTAGAGCCCATAGATTGTAGATGACAACGTAAATACGCCACCCACCTTGAGACATAAGTTCTAAGGTCTCAGGTATAGTTACAACGGTTGTCCCACCCTTTAAACCGAAACGCATTACTGCTTCACGGCAGAAATGAGCATGGTGGTGGTAACTGCCCGCGCGGACTCTCAAGAGGTCCTACCACCAGTAAGTGAAGAGGTTCTACCACCAGTAAAGTTTTTTCACCAGTTAGTTTTTAACTGAACCTCTTTATTTCTGTTTTTTTCTTTAAAATAATTACAATTTATTTTTATGTATGGTTATTTTTGACAGCTTAAAGTTCAATCCGCGATCAACAGCCGAGCATCCGGAACAGGAAGCGCAGAGCGTTCACTCATGAATATGACAGTGACATTTGCCACAACGTTGGCAGTGACATCTCATGTGATGTTCGACTGTCATTTCTTAACATCATGTTTGCTAAGTAAGCGCAATTTAAATTGACTTTCGTGTGATATTAATAGAAGCGAGGTTGGCCATTTAGTAAACAATCAGTTTCAATTTATCTGTACACGGTCCACGTAATAATAGCGTACGTCAAACCAATCAAAGATCCAATTGAAGGGGTAACTAGGTGGACATAACTCATCGCAATCGATCACTTGCGCATCATCGCCCGACGCCGATACGTCTCGGCCATTGAAACTAACGTCGCGCCTATAAAATGAATTGGATTTTATTAATGACGGCCATTTAACTATATAATAATAAATATGCCTGACTTACGGCAAAATAGTTTCTGATTAGCATTATGTAAAAGGGGTAAATGAGTCGACTATTATCAGAGCCGGCAATGTGACTTTTGGACAATTGTTGGTAAATCAGAAAAACGAATTATTGACTTTGTATTCCATTGGCAGTCACAAAACTCTTCTGAACGACATCTTAGATAAATAACAGGTTAAGTATTAACCTTTATTTAATGCAGGTTTTGAACCGTATTCTTTGAAGGAGACGATTATATTCAAATCAATCTGTATTGACATATCAATAACATTTTTTTGTCCAAATGCACAGATGCACCAGACAAATGCACCTTTGATAATAGACGACTCAAATATTGTACGCCCCATTTACTAGTAGGCTAATGTTGTAGATTATTTCTTTTTTCACTAATTGGAATAATGTTGCGAGTAAAAATAACATCTCCCTACGTGCACACAACGAGCCAATTACCGTTAAACACAATATATGTTATGAGAGCACCTTTTCTCCGGTCTAATCTAAAAACAATAAAATTGAAGTTAATAATGCGGACTGTACATAAATATCCGGTAGCGGGTGAAGGCGTTTCGTATTATTTTCATTTTATTACCGTCGGGCCGGGAATTTGATAGAGACTTGGCTACCGGTAGTATAATTTTGCCGACACAGCCGCTCGGCCACCACCCGGAGATGTATTAAATTGGAATGAATATAAACCCGAAAAATTGTGAAAGTAATTTGTTTTATCGCGAGAACGAGGTGTATTGTTTTGTTGGTTAAGTTGTGTACGCAATGAAAACCTCGTCAGAATGAATTAGAATTATTTTTTCGTAGCCGTATCACAAAATTACATCTGAAGGTGAGATCTAATTGAAGTCTGTAATGCTGTTGGTTTCGTAAAATCCTTTCTTACCGACTCATTCTCGATTTAAAATTTCATGTGGAGGAAATAGATATGCGAATCTTTAGATCTACAGTTACGTAAATATTTAGGTTAAGTGATAAAAAAGCGTATTAAAATAAGACCTATAATAATTATCTTAACGTGCCAATTTTAGTTAAGTTTAACTTATATTTATTTACGTGTATATTATTATAATGTAATTCATTAGTTGAAGATACATTATAAGTTGAACAAATTGTTTAGTGACAAATGAGGATCGAATCACTGTAATATTTTATTCTGACTGATTTGGAATCGGTTTTAGTACGCGAATACGACATCAATCAACGACCCAGTTACTTTTAGCTAGATTTAAAATAGAACTATAGACTAGACTGTTATTAAAATGAAATACATATAGTCAATTTTATATAGTTTACTGGTGGTAGGACCTCTTGTGAGCAGTGTCGCCAACTGTTTGAAAAGTTTCCCCTTAAAGCAATTTCAAAAACCACTAAATTAGTGGTATATTTTTGAGAATAGCCAGAAACTTTTTCTCCCTTTGGCTTTTTAAACCTGGTATTTTATATTTGGTATTTGTTTTAAAAAAAAGATAGTGCATAATAAACTATCAATTATAACTGACTGTTTTTAGCTGTCAGCTGTTAAGAGTATAATAAAAAATGCATACAGTGTCCTCTATTAAAATTGGAATCATTCAATCGATTTGAATTTTTTCATTTTTGTTGATATACGTAGAAATTTAAAAAAAAATACAAATAAAATTTTATCCCTGAAAATATCCCCAAAAAATTTCACCCCCTAAAAAAATCCCTGTATAGATTTTATCCCCCTAAATTTGGGGGGAAAACCCCGGAGTTGGCATCACTGCTTGTGAGTTCGCACGGGTAGGTATCACCGCCCCGCCTATTTCTGCCGTGAAGCAATAATGCGTTTCAGGTTGAAGGGAGAGGCAGCCGTTGTAACTATACTGAGACCTTAGAACTTATATCTCAAGGTGGGTGGCGCATTTACGTTGTCGATGGCTATGGGCTCTAGTAACCATTCAACACCAGGTGGGTTGTGAGCTCGTCCACCCATCTATGCAATAAAAAAAAAAGTCACGACCACCGTTCTTACTCTGTGCAACTCACTGTAATCATTATTGATGTTGGCTTTTTGCAATTAGCTCTACATACTCATGCTAACGTAACGCGATCACATTTGCTATTCATCATTCTTGGTATATGATTTCAATCACATTTAGAATTGTTTATGAGGTATTTTATTAGCACCGAATCGTATAATATAGTTATGAGTAATATTGACTGAGATGAATTGGATTTTATTTTTATCGGAGCATCACAGGGCAATATTGAAATAGATTAGGTAATTTTTTTTATTGTTTAGATTAGACGAACGATGAACGAGCACTCAGCCCGCCTTTCGTTAAGTGGTTACAACAGCCCATAGGTATAAACAACGTAAATGCCGTCACCTACATTGAGACGCAAGTTCTAAGTCACAGTCCTATAGTACGTGTGCTCCGCCCTTCAACTCGGATTGCAATACTGTTTCGCGGTAGAAATAAATTCCTGTGCGGGCTTAGAAATTAGAAATTTAGAACTCGGTAAATAAACGGACAGTTCCCAAATTTGAAAAATTGCCGCGCAATCTTACACGAGTAAGCTGAACGCAACTTCATATCTGTGACGTCATTTGGGGCCAACATAAACAACCAGAATTAGTTCATAATCGAATGCACATCTGTTAGTCACATAATAGTGTGATGTCATGCATTCTAATTCATGTTTAGGTTGACGTGAAGAACGGATAAAAATCCTAGAATCATTAGATGTGGTTTATTGGTTTTATATGTAAATAATTAACTTCTTAGAAAAAAAAAGGTAATTGAATGAGGGGTTTAAATTAAGTATTCGATAGATGGTCGATAATTTAATCGATCATAAACACTGATAGTTCAAGATTCATTCAATTATGTATGTGTATATGATTTTTGCGATTGACATTTTAGGTATAAAAAAACTATTGCGAAAAATTATTAATCGATAGCAATTACTCTTAGCTACTAAATTATGAAGTGGCCGTAGCCTAAACATTAAGTCACCTGTCATACTCGTATCTAGCGTCGCGATTGTATCAGTGTTCAAATCCCGCATGCAAGTA